TCTGTGGAAGCTCCAGCCTCAGTCTCTTGTCAGGAGCCTCAGCTCATGGTTATGTTGGGATGCATCCTGGGAGATGTGATATCCGGTTTCGCAGTTGCCAGAGGAAGTTAAATAGGGTTAATAAGAAGAATATGGTTTATATGAAGTATGCCCCTGGGGGAGCTGTGGAGCAACGCCTCCCAAAGCACGTTCCACCAAACAGTCATCACATGAGTCGCTCTATGAGTAGAAAACTGTGGTGAAACAGACATATGAACCCTGCATAGAAATGTTCCCTTAGCAATGCATGGTGTGCATTAGTATGTTAAAACATAGGAGCGCTCCTGCAGCAAAAAAAAATTCTCTACTTCCTTCTTCTTCTTAAACTTGATTTAACCCAGTGTTTCCCAGATACCTTTGCCTATGGAGCACACTGTCTATGGAATACATGGGACTTTAAGTTTAAAAAAACATACGTACTCAAAGTTAGTTTCTAATAGTTTGCATTGTTGTGAAAGAACATGATCTGTAAGATACAGATTTTTTTGTTGTGTTTTGTTTTGGGATTGCCTTTATGGTCTACTACATGTTCAGTTTGTGTACATACTCCATTTGTGTCTAAAGAGAATGCATCTTTCCCCATTGTTGAATGCTAGGATATCGAAGGTCTATTACACTGGGTTTGTTAACCTGTGTGGGACAGCTCTTGTATACTAACATTGTTGTGTATTTAACATATTAACAGCTGAGGAAGGTATGTTGGAATCTTTCACCCTGGTGAAGAATATGTCAATATCTCCTAGTTCTGTCAATTTTTGCTTTATATGTTTTATAGTTATTTAGGATAATACAAATTTGGAATTGCCATGTCAATATAGAGTGATCTTTCTTATCTCTAGTAATAATTTATCTGTCTAATATTTTTGTAGCTGCTTCAGATTTCTTTTTATTTGCCTTATATCTTTAATTGTCTTATTTTAACTAACAGTACCCTTATGCTTGAGGAGTGTCTCATTGAAATAGAGCATAGTAGATGTTTTTCTTACCCAAAACTGATAATCTTTGTATTTTCAGTGGAAATTTTAGTTCATTTTTATATATTGTAATTATTATATATGGAGGCTTCTTTTTCCAACTTCATCTTTGTGCTTTCTATGTGCCCTGCTAATTCTCTACTTGGTGTTTTTCTTCTGTTTGAATGAGTTAATTTGTTGTTGTTCCTCTGCTTCTTCCATTTTAAGTTTTTTGTGGTTGCATTTAGAATTCCAGCTTACTGAGTAAGTCTTGATTGTATCTGAAGTTAATATCTTGACCACTGCTAAACAGTCACTCCACCTCTGGACTTACCTGCTATTGCTTTCCAGCATTTTGTTGTTTGTTTAAATTATTGTCATTATTTTATATATACTTTAAAAAGTGCATCCACTTGCTTGAAAATTACTTTACTTGCTATTTCTTCACCATCACACCTTTCTTCTGGAATCATGTCCTCATCTTGGAGAACATATTTTGGAGTCTTTTTGGTTAAACTCTCTGAGTGGTAAAACTATTGTTTGCCTGTCAAATTCGATTCCATTTGCCATTGCTTTTAAAAGTTAGTTTACTGGGTTGCCAATCCTGTGTGAGCACTGTCTCTGGCTTCCATTGCAGCCAGTATCATGTCTTCTGTAAATCTAATTGTCACTTGTTGGTGATCTATTTCTTGTCTTTGACTGCTTTTAGGGTCTATTGTGTTTTGTTGGATTTTCATAATTTCCCTGTAATCTGGCATGATGTGGATTTCTTTTTATTTAATTAGTTTGGGATTCACTGTGTTTTCAGTAACTGGGGATTCATATTCTCTTCAGTTCTGGAAAGCTCTGAGCCATTATCTCTTTAAGTACCTCTCTTCCATTCTCTCTAATCTGGAATTTTGATTAAATGCACGTCATCCTTCCTCATTCCTTATTTTGTATTTCTTCGTCTCTCTTCCATATTTTCCATCTTGTTTTTCTGTGCTAAACATCAGCTAATTCCTTCAAGTCTGCTTTTTAGTTCTTTCCTGAGCTGTATTTAATCTACTTGTAAGCCAACCATTGAGTTTTTCTTTTATTATTATAATTTCACTTGTAAGTTGATTATTTAAAAGTTATTCCTGGAAATTTTAGTTGTTCCTTATTTGTGGGCATTTTCATTCTTTTATTTCTTTGGATGAAGACAGCTATTTTATAGTCTAAATGTGATAATTCCAGTAACTGAGGTATTTGGGAAACTCATTCTGTTGTTTGTGACTCGCTGCTTTTCCTCATAGAGGCTTACTTCTTTGTACATTTTGGAATTAGTTTTAAATTTATGCTCATCTGTATGTAATTCGAGGCGATCCCAAGGATATGCATTGTGGGTGTTTTGTCCATAAGGGGTTTGCTTTGGCAGGGGCCAGGGACTTTGCCAGGTGGGGCCTTCTGCCCTCCCCACGTGAGTTCCAGGCCTTCTAGAGCCTCTCCTGGTCGGCCTGCCTCCCCTCCCTTTACAGAATGAGCTCCACTGAGAAGCTTAGAACATGGAAAAAGAGCCTTCAAACAAATTTCCCCTGGAGTAGTCAGTGGCTATTAATTAGCGGGTTTTCCAAACTTTGCTGGGTTTGGACTCAGATGACTTTGAGTGTCGGCTAAGGCAGAGTGATGACTGAATAACCATTTTCCTGCAAAAGCCACACTCTCAGAATGACACTGAGAGAAGGGGAAAAGCTGTATGGATGGCAAAACAATACACGCAAAATATTCTTTATGTGTGATGACATACTAATGGCATGACTCATAATCTTTTTCCCAGTAACGTTACTAAAAGAAGCCAATATCCAGGGAAGAGTCTCAGAAGCTTCAAGTGCTGATTTAAAAAAAGAATGTTAATCTTAATTACCTAATCACTCAAGAGGCTCTCAGAAACTTATTATACATCATTTCAGTCGAGGAGATAATATTACGCCCAAAGCACATTTAAATCATCACATTAGACCTAACACTATGACAAGAGACAAAATAACCTAATGTAATTTCTGTTTATGCTGAGTGGTTTGATAAAAAGGATGATTGTTTTTCTATGTGAATAATGAGCACAGTAGAGATGAGGAAGTCTAATAGCAACCTTGATTTTGTTACTGTTGGTAAAATCAAGCCCAGGACACATACTGGCAAATTCAAATCCATGTTGGCTGGGACCCGTGTCCTGGCCTCAGGGCTGCTGCAGACTCCAGTGCCACTTAGGAAAGTTCTCCTCTCTGGGTCCTGATTTGCCAAAATATGAAGAGATTCCCTCTAGGGCTTCTAGAATTGCAAGATTTTGGTGATAAATATACATCGATTATTACAATATAAGGAGTACTAAAGATTGGCCCACACTTTACATTTTATAGCTGACGAAATCCAGACTTTAACATGTTTGGTGGGTGACTTGCTTATGACCAAGTCATACAGAAGCTGAAGGTATTTTGTGAAGGAAAAAGAAAGGAAGGAAGAAACAAGAAAGGAAGGAAGGAAGAAGAGAGAAGGAAGGAGGAAGAGGAGAGAGGAAGCAAAAAGGAGTAATCTTATAAAGTTGATTTTGAGATGGTACAGTAAGAGGGAAAGGACCTCAGCCCTATCTGGCAGCTACTGACATGTTATAAATATGCAAAAAATTCCCAATCTTCAGACAGTAAGGTTCCTCATGAGTTCAATAATGTCTTTAATTACAGTTTGTTCGTTTTTATAAAACCACTTAAAAACCTCCAGAAGGTTATATTTTGGGGTGAGATGTATAGTGCTTTTGCAGAGAGGTGGTTTTAGACTCTATTAGATGCCTAGATACTGTGATACAGTATTTCAGAATTTTTGAGAAACCCTGATCTGGAAAAAGTGAGAGAAAAACAAGAAATGGAGAAGGAGAATCTTATGTACATAAATTCCTCCAGAGGAGAAAGAAAGTGAGTGGCAAACAGAGGGGCAGAGTTGAGGGGGAGCCCTCCGTGGATGGCCCTTGTCTTGAGATGTATAGTTTTTCCAGTTGCGTATTCACATTTCTTTCTATGTGCTGGCACGATATTTTCTCTCATTTACCCTTTTTACAAGTCTCCTCCTGCCTCCCAAAAGGCCTTGACACAGGCTTACCACACCATCCAAAAGTAGGGTGTCCTGTGAAACCTTTCATAAAATGAAACGGCATAAAGCTAAGAAACAGTCACCATTATTTGTATGGAAATTTTTGAGCATTCCAAGACCCAGGAAAAACTCTCTAAGGCTTTTCTGATGCCTTAGGACACATCTTGTTAACAGACGCGCAAAGTACATCAAGATAAGGCACAGGTGTGTGCACAGTTCGGCGCTCTGGCGGCTTGATGCTGAGACACGAAGTGCGGCTCCCAGGGAAGGAGCTTAGCAGGCCCCTCTCACTGCGCAGGGTGGGTGCTGCCGCTGCGACAGCTCTCTGCAAAACTAATGCCAAAGCTATTTTTGCTTTTCCCCTTTTTGTCCATAAAAGCAAAAATCCTCTTCAGATTTCTTTCTGTTATCAGCAACAGGTACTAATGTAGGTCTTTTGTAGAAGCAAAGTGGTGTAAAGTGAACTTCTGAAAGCAACAGATACTTGTATTTGATTTACTAAAATATGGCTTCTTCCTACCAATGACTGCCCATATTTTTAGATCAATTTTTCAAAACAGCTACAAAATCCTTACATTTCTTTTTAACTTTGGGAAAAAATATGTTAGTTTTGAAATAAAATTATGTATGTGGCAGAAACTACTGCTGTCTACCCAACATATATATTTCCCTCCCTCCATTCCAACAGATTCTTTTCAGAATGGCAATGTGCTTGTTCATCTTCTCAGCTTCCTTTGCGAAGGGCGTCTGTGTGACACAGTTCTAGCAATGCAGTATGAGCAAAAGCCCCCGGGGAGGGCTTACCTGGTGTAATAAAAAAACTTTCAAGTTAAGTTCCTTTGCCCTCAACCTGCATGGAATGTATGAAGATGGAGGAGGCACAGCAGCTATCTTGTGATCATGAGACTGAAAGGCACAAGCTAACAATGACAGAGATGACAAAGCAGGAAAATAAAAGTCGCCCGGATTCCTGGATGACTTTGTGGAGCTGCAGTAATACCCCTGGATATTCTAAACTCCATCTTCTATCATTACCTGAAATAAACCCTCCAAAGTCACTATTTAACTGATTTCCTTTAGTGTATCTGAAAGGAATTTCTAACTGATATAAAATGCCTGACTAGTATAGACATATCCTAAATGCTTTAAACATTGCTGATCATGGTCAACTCGTATTTTATTTCAAGTGTGGAGTAATGGCTGAGAAGAAATCAGCATTCCCATGGTAGTATAAATGCACAATGTCAAAATGCTTAATAGTGTATAACTCTTCTGATGAAATTCCAAGGAAATAATCCTTATTAGTAGTTAAACCTTATGTGTAAATATGTTTACTACAAAACTGTTTAAGTTATTAAACTATTGGAAAGCATTTAAATGTTCAAAACTATGTAAAGATTAGAAAGTGTGGTGCTTAGTAGAGTAGGATGGTTTACAGTCATTAAGAATTTCATTTTTCAAGTACATTCTCAATAACAAAGGACAAATGCATGTGTTGTAATATTAAGCTAAATGTGCAGGACACAAACTATGGTTTCAATATGATAAAAGCTACATTGAAACTCACTGTACAAAGGCTGGGAAATAGAAAAGTTATTACTATGGGTTGGTGTATATATGATTGCTTTCTGTTTCTTCTTTATATTTTCCTGTATTTCACAAATTTTCTACAGTCAGAAGAATTAGAAGGAAAAAGATTTTTTTAAGGCGCTATTTCATCTTCATTTTTTTTCTTCAGAAACACATCTTTAGCAGAATCCTTTAGCCTGTTCTTAAATAGGGTAAAATGGCTATTTTATAGTACATTCAAACTTGGTAAGGGCTCAAACTCTAAGAAAGGTACTGGTTCAATTCTTACAAAATGTTCATTATCCAGCCTTCCCTGAATCAAAATATGTCTTACTAGAGATCATACCTAATTCAAGTGTCTGAGCCCAGATCTCACATGTGGCTCCTTGAGAAGTCTGCATCTCATCTAGGTCCATCTGTATCTACCTCCCTCCCTTGGCTTCTGGTCTTGGGCAAAGTAGTTCTCCAGGACCCAGTCCCCTGGGTCTCTTGGACCCTTTGATTCTTGTTCCATGCAGCTGTGTGCCCTGATTCTGGAAGCAGTCAGGTTCTCTATGGTGCCAAGTTCTTGGTCAACTGCTCCAAGCAATTCCAGCCTCTTTCTCTGCTCCAAGGGCTTTCTTCCTCCCTGAGGCATATGCTGGCTGTTTCATTTCTTTTCCACCAGCACAGAAGGCTTTGAGCTGCTCATGGTTCATCCTGGGAGCACATCTAGAAGGCAGTTGCCCACAAATACACAGTGAACAACAGCATAGACTGGATGCTGCATGAGGTGGTGGTGGCTGTAGGGAAAGCGTTTATTGGAGGGCAGACTCAAGCTCAGAGCATTTACATAAGAATCTTGACTTGCTGTGACAAGAGCTTCCATGTGCCACTCTCCTCCATCCAGTTTACCAATGAAATTAGCTGTGTGGCTTCTAAGTGCTTTCCTTCCTTCTGCCATCCTACAGTGGGAGACAAGTGATGCCACCATAGTTTAAAATATAAAACCAGACAACAGCACTTTTCCTTTTTTAGCATTTTTTAAACTAACAACTCATCCCTCAACTATTTAGAGAAAAGGGCTCAGCCCTGGCAAGTACCAGGCATTCAACAACGAGAAGCATTTCTAATAACAGGGAGGAGAGTGAATCACATACCAGAGCCCCAGGGCTGGCTGGTCCTGGAAGCCTTAGAAACATGTTTTTGCTTCATTATTCACTTCAGACTGTTGCTCTTAGTCCTTAGGAGGACAACTACAGCTCTTGTTCTTCAGGTTGATTGTTCTGATGTGGAGAGTGGGCCAGGACCCACAGGGGGCCAGACTTTTGATTCATAAGCCTGCCAAGACTGACCCTAAACATGGTATTTTCTGAGGCCTGTTCACAAGTAAAACACACTTGAGATGGAGAACAGACTTACAAAGAAGTACATCACACTGTGGCTTATGGTCAATGGATAACTTTAATGAACTGGTTTCAACATATACCAAATCAGTAGGTTTGCAGATAGGTTATTCTCAACACTTAAAAAAAAAGAGGGGGAAATGCAAGCTTGTCCCAGTATCTGCCTTCTGCCACAGTTCCTTGTCCTGGAAACCCTGTAGGTGCAGAGGTCTCTGTAAGGGCATGGAGGTGGGGAATGTGGACTCTGTGACCACAGTGTCTCAGACATAGAGTGATTAGCCAGTGCAAATAGCTCGTCCCGGGGTGGACAGCCCCTTATGGGGAGCTCTGCCTCTTAACTCTGGTAACTTTCTAACTCTTGGCCTCAAAGTCTTTCCAAGAACCCATCTTCTGATCTAAGACTGAATAGTACACACACGAAACCAGGGATCATCAGTTAAACTACCACTAGAGGAAACCTTTTCATGTATTAGTCCACAGTTACAAAACAATGTATAGGGCATGGGCCATTTTCCTTTAGAAAATGTAGATAGACAGGTAATAGGTAGAAAACACTAAGCATCAAAACTTTGTGTGGTTCCCTTTAGGAAGTGATGTATATATTATTTTTTAAATTGATCTGTATTCGCTCAAGTATATACAGTACAATTAAAACAAAAAATTTTTTAAAGGAGAAAAACCAGCAGAGCCAAGGATGGCCCCAGACCCCACTATTAACTTCTGTGCCAGTGCAGCAGCCTGAGTGCCTGAACACGCACAAGTCCTCACAGTTCCAGAATTGCAACATCTGTTCAGAGGGACAAAGGTGGCCCTAATTCAATCTGTGACAAGGTCCGCCTCAACTCCAATTCCACTTCAGGACAATAGAGCAGAAACAGTTACCCGCGACTGAATGGAGGAGAAAAGAGAGGAAAACCAGAGGTCTTAGGGAAAGCCCAGTGACCCTCTTTGACACCCCCAGGTCATCACAGAGTAGAGAAAGCTGCCACGCCACTGGCTAAGTGGTGATGACAGTTTAAGCAGGCACAGCCCTGCCACCAGTCAAGGCAGGCAGCTTTGGGATCCCCTGATCGGCACTTGTTCCTGGGGCAGTCCGCCATGCCGTGCAGAGAGCGGGGCACAGTGAGGAACGCCTCCCTGGAGTCCATCTCAAGAGCCAAGGATGTGGCTCTGAGTCGAGGCTAGCCCCTGGCTCTCTAGGCCCTGCCCTAGTTGATAACCCCCGACCTTTCCTGTTCTTCTTCTCCATCCCTCCTGAAACTGGACCAGGGTTCCCTTTTGAAGGACTTTGGCATAATCTGCAGTGATGTCTGGCAGAGTCTAGCTGAATGCCCACCTGTGCATAAGCTGGTGCTGTTCAAACACTGGACATGCTCTGACAAGTTGACCAAAGAATCCCAAGTCCACAGCAATTCAGCCTGTTCCAGAGACGCTAGCAGGTTCTGGAAGACCCAAAGGGCCTACCTTCCTTTGAGATAATTTTTCTGCAAAAAGAAGACAAAGATTATCTTAGAGAATATACCTGATTCATGTTCTCAATAAGATCCAGGCAAGCATAACACTTAGTAAATTACAAGAAACCTTTGTTGAAAATGCTAAAATGTGAAGCATGGAATGATGGTGTGAAAGGGGCAGCCCACCTCCTGATGAAAGAGCATGAGTGTTCACGTGGAAAGTGAACCTGGACACAGATGCTGTTATGAACTGCATGTGACAATTATAATCAGTTACTTTACACATCACACAAATCCCTGTTCGCTTTTGAAAGGAGAGCATGGTGTAGAGGCTGATGAGCAAGGTAACTTCTCTTTGGTCTTTCTGAAATGCAGCCCATCACCTCCCACCCCCATCCTTGATCAGTGGCTCCCCCAGGAGAATGTAAAGGTCACATAGCACCTGTACACAGTGGAGGCTGGATCAAGAAATCCTTTTGCTATGAATGAATTCAGTGTTGCTTCTGCCTCTTCCTCAACTCACGAGCATCACTTGCTGGGACGCCAACCGTCTTTTCAGCTCCACCTTGTCCTTGACTCTTTACACTGGCTTTTGAGCACACATCTCTGTTGGGGAAGGAGAAATGGAGGAGGTACCAGAATCTACAAATATCTTCAGAGATTTGAAGTGAACTTGCAACAAGATCTGTGCTCCCAAGGCATGATCTGGTCTGGGAAGAGACAGACTGCGTCAGTGCAGCAGGTAAGACAGGCCACCATGACCCTCTCCTCCTTTGATACTCTCTCACTGGGCAGCCACATCTGTAGTGAAAACTCCAATGGCTTTAGTCTCATCTCATTCCTGGCAGACAAATACATGAAAATAGACTTGTCAGTCATTTTCACGATTTCCAGGGTGGCTGCCAAGGAACCAGCAGGACCAAATGTGGGAACTGACGTGGTAAGCGTGCACCTGCTATTTTCCCATTAACATTTTCCTGTGTGGGGGCTACAATTCTGCCAACTTGTCAGAAGATTTAATCTGTTTATATTACAATGTGTGAATTCCATTTTTTTTTGTTGTGAAAAAAAACCCCCAAAGATGAGTCCCCTTTGATTATATGTTCTTGGTATTGTTAGAACAGGCCTCTGCATTGGGATATACAATGGTCAGGTCAGTAACTCGCTTTGGCCCTACAGTTCCAGTCTGTTCTCAACATTCTTCACCAGAGTGAACACCAGCCTTGACCACCCTGATCTCCTGCTCTCCAAATCTGAGTCAACAAAAATGTGTGTGTGTGTGTGTGCATGCGTGCGCTATTATCCCCACTTTACAGATGAGAATACTGAGGCCCATCAGGGTTGGTGACTTGCTTAGGGTTCTGTAGCCCAGAGAGGTGGGGTTAGGGTTAGAGCCCCTGCAGTTTGTCCCCAGGGCCCATGCAGTTAGCACTGCCTTGCTGAGATTGGTATTCATGCCATTTCAGTCAGTCAGGGGTAGATTGTTTAGCAAAAACAAACAAAACAGGATATTCAGTTAAATTTGAATTTCACATAAACAATAAAACTTTTTTGGTATAAGCATGTCCTATGGAATATTTGGTACATACTTTTACTTAAAAATTCTTGTTTATATGAAATTCAAATTTAACTGGGCATCCTGTATTTTATCTGGCCACCCTAGGCAAGAGAAGCATTGGCAATTGATTGCCTATTTGGGGATGCGGAAGCCTAGGGATTGGGCTGGCCACATGGGAGAGGTGGGGGTCAGTGAAGACCGACAAGTGAGTGGAGGCAGTCAGGAAGCTTCCTCTCATCCTGACTCCGGGCTCACTGCCCATAGGGATGCTGGTAGGAACTCCATGGAAAGTGCTTACACCCACTACATGCACATGGGAGCACACCACTCACACACATCTATTCCCACACACCTGCACACTGACGCACAAACACACACAGCCTAGGCCCTCTGACCAAGATGCCAATCCATCAGGAGCTAGCTCAGTGCCCTGGTGGAGTTTCAGGCCTCTGCTGGGCAGATGGGAAGCAAAGCCAAGGTAGTGACTTGGGAGAACTGCAGGAGGAGCCCTCCCCTTAAATGAGAGGGCACAAGGAGGTTCTAGGACCTTGCGTGCTTCCTCTTCACAGGCACCTGTATCTCTGGATTTGCAGCATTTCCCAGAAATCAGTGATTTGCTGTCTAGACTGGTTGTCATTACATTTGCAGAAAGCCCCCATGGATTCCTAGAT